TACTAATTTTATTTCATCTCTGACACTTCTATTATAGAGAAAGGGCAAATAGCAATATTAAAATATTTCCTCTAATTAATTCTCTTTTAATGTGCATGAATTTCGTGCACTGAGCCACTAGTAAAAAGCTAATATGCAAATGGTCATCATGCCTCATGCCCTCACGCCCTCTCACCCTTGTGTCCTCTCGTGCTGGAACTGCTCAGACACTCAACACTGGGGAGAGAGGAATGGGGACAAGCCAGGCACAATTGAGCTCACAAGAGAGGAATGGGGACAAGCCAGGCTGCGGCCCGGAAGAGGGACAAGCTCCCCACCCCGCAATCCTGGGCACCTGTGGCTGCAGCCAGCCCAGACACAGCCAGCCTGAGTTCTGGGTGCCTGCAGCTGGCCAGAGGAGGTAATCCTGGGTCCCGGGTGCAGGGCAAGGCAGAGGGAGTTAGGGATGATCAAGCCAGCAGGGGAGCAGTTAGGGGTGATTAGGCTGGTAGGGGAGCAATTAGGGGTGATCAGGCAGGCAAGCAGAGGGATTAGGGGTAATCAGGCAGGCAGGTGAGGGGTTAGGAGCCAGCGGTCCCGGATTTGTGAGAGGCGTCAGACATTCCCCGAGGGGTCCCAGATTGGAGAGGGTGCAAGCCAGGCTTGAGGGGACCCCCTCCCTCCCGTGCACAAATTTCATGCACCGAGCTTCTAGTGGTCTAATAAGAGACATACAGGACATATTTGATAGACAACAGAAACCCATGTCTGTTGTTTTAAGCCACCAAGTTTGTGGTAGTTTGTTGACTGCCACAGAAAACTAATACACTGCTATTTCCGATATTGGAGATACTAGTACATTCAGAGGGAGCAAACCAACCTCCAGAGAATAACGTGCAATGACCAAGGGTCACTTTTGGAGGGGACCCCCTCTCTCCCGTGCACGAATTTCATGCACCGAGCTTCTAGTGGTCTTATAAGAGACATATAGGACATATTTGATAGCCAACAGAAACCCATGTCTGTTGTTTTAAGCCACCAAGTTTGTGGTAGTTTATTGACTGCCACAGAAAACTAATACACTGCTATTTCCGATATTGGAGATACTAGTACATTCAGAGGGAGCAAACCAACCTCCAGAGAATAACGTGCAATGACCAAGGGTCACTTTTGAAATACATATGATTAAGGTAAAATGGTATAGGAGAAAGAAGCTAACATTGACTGGGCCCTTACTATGGCCCTGACCTCTAGAATTTTGTTTAATCTTCACAATAATCTTATAAAGTAGGTTCCACTGCCCTAGCTGGCTTGGCTCTTGTATAGAGCATCAGCCTGTGGACTTAAGGGTCCCAGGTTCGATCCCAGCCAAGGGCACATGCCTGGGTTGCGGGCTCTATCCCCAGTGGGGGGCATGCAGGAGGCAGCCGATCAATGATTCTCTGTCATCATTGATGCTTCTATCTCTCTCTTTCTCCCTTCCACTCTGAAATCAATAAAGAAATATATTTTAAAGTAGGTTCCACTAATAAGTATGTAAAGCTCTCCTGGCAAGGCCCACATTAGATTAGGAGGTTGAATATACTTGAATAAAGAATGGTGAGACTCCAGAGATAACACATCTAAGAAATAAAAATATTGAACCAAGAGGCAGCTAGGTGCTGTAGTTAGGGGTGCAGCCATTCAAGCCAGACCACCTGGATATGCACTCCAAAGCCTCTACTCACCACCTGTATGACCCTGGGCAGATAGATATCTGTGCCTTGGTTTTTCTATCTCTTAAATGGGGATAGTGCAAGAACCCGCCTTACGTAAGGTTGTTGTGAGTAAAAGCATGTGAAGCATTTAGGACCAAGCCTGCCAGATAGCAGCCTCTCCATAAGGTTTAGCTATTCTTCTAACACACATGCTGTTAAGCACACCATAAACACTCAATGGATATTTGCTATTATTATCATTAGTTCAATTAAGACCCAGCTAGACCTTACTCTTTCTCTGATTTTTCTAGAGTCGTGATCTTTTTTCTGCTAGAATTAAAAAGGCCTCCTTGGAAGACAGAAATTGGATTAAAATAACAGCTCTCAGAGTGTAGGCTCTAAGATTGATCCAAAGTACAAGGCATGTAAAGTAATGGCAGGCGAGGGGGCGGCCCTTTAAGGCTTTCACCATATACTTAATAGACAATTAAGCCCAACTTCAAGATTACAAAATAAATAGATTCAAAGATAGTCACAGCACTTGAAATGTCACAATTTGCTGTGGTAGAAACCACTGATTGTTAGGTAGGTGGGGGAAGGGAGAGTAATAAGAAAGAGGGAATGGTTTTCCTGAAAATAACCATTTTCCTGAAAATAATCAATAAAAACTAAACCAAGGTAAAAAATTCCTTCTGCCAAAAAGAGCTTTTGCCATACTCTAATAAGCTGGTCAGAAAAGTTTGGATTTGTTTATTCCTTAGTTCATGCCTTCATTCATTTAACATTTGTTGATCATGAATAAATAGTTCTTCTAGTTTGCACTAGAAGCCTGGTGCAAAAAATTTGTGCACTGGCAAGGGGGATCCCTCAGCCCAACCTGTGCCCTCTCACAGTCTGGGACCCCTCGGGAGATAACCACCTGCTGGCTTAGGTCTGCTCCCCGGGTGGCAGATGGCAGGCCCGATCCCGCGGTGTCTGCCCCGTCTCCCCTGGTTGCAGATGGCAGCCCGGATCCCACGCTGGGGCAGGCCAGTGGCTCGGGATCACGCTGCCGCCCGCCCTGCACAGGGCAGGTCCGGATCCAATGCTGGGGCGGCCAGCAGCTGGGGATCGAGCTGCTGACAGCCCCAGGCAGGACGGTGCAGGGGGATTTGCCTGCAATATGCAAATTAGCCGCCATCTTTGTTTGCAGTTAATTTGCAAATCGTGCCAATTAGCCTATGGAAGGTGTAGCAAAGGTACAGTCAATTAGCATGTCTGTCTATTATTAGATAGGATATAGCTCAGGGCTGCACATCTGCTGCAGACGGGCACTGGTCAGGTGTGAACTATGCGCCTGGCACTTAGTTAAGGGTTGTGTGTGTGTG